GTCTTTCTGGCAAGGGTTAGCTCTACTGTGGCCATTGCCATGTGGTCTTGTTTATTTCAAGTACATAGTATTCCCTGTCACTCCCCCTTTTAAGCCCAAATTCTTAGGATAGTTTTTGTGTATTTCCTTAAGGGAATCCAAGTTTTAGAATGTATTTTCAGACTCTTTGCAAATAAAATGTGGAACTGTACATTCAACATTAAACTTGTGCTTTAATGAAAGTGACCATATAAATTATCTTCCAAACCATACATTTGTGAAAGCTGATAGGGGCACTATTGATTATTATAACAGGTATTCTTGGCAACTAGGACATGTGATGTCCCTAGCTTTAATGTTTCCAGCATCCATAATAGTAAAACTTTCCCTGTACACCCAGGTATTTGTTTCTAGGTGTGTTTTTTTAATTTTTTTAAAGGCAGCATTAGATAGTGGAAACATTAAAAGAATAAAAAGAAAAGGTCTGATGGTCAAAGTTCTACCTCTGACTGTGGGACCGTTAGTAAATCATTGCCCTCTTTTGGACTTACTATTTGCATCTATTAGATGAGGACTAAGTCACCATTAAGTTTTCTGCCAGTTCTAATGGTCTAGAATTCCTACTCAACATGTGTATGTTGGTATGTGCACATACATACATATACATGTACCCATATGCATTTATAAAAGAGAGGTCAATTATGAAAAAATACAAAATTTCAATAAATATTAAATAAGAAAATAACCATATTTTCAGCATGGAATATTCCAATGTTATCTTTGAAAAAAAAGCAGAATTGGCCTTGGCCAGTGTGACTTAGTTGGTTGGGCATCGTCCGTGCACCAAAAGGTTGCCAGTTCGACTGCAGGTGAGTGCACATGCCTAGGTTTTCAGCTGGATCCCCAATAGGGAGTGGGCAGGAGGCATGCGATCAATGTTTCATTCTCACTTTTATGTTTCTCTTTTTTCATCTCCCTTCCTCTCTCTCTAAAAATCAATAAAAATATTTTTTGTTGTTGTTGTTAAAGAGTAGAATTGTTTAACTATATTGAAAGTCACACCAGAGACATAATGTTGTAGCAACTTGGAAGGTAGTTCAGTGACAGACAGGAAATGTGTTTTCATGTGTGTGTTTGGCAAAACTCTACAACTTAGGATACTGGTGGGTTTTTTGTTATAACAGAGTCTGTTATGTGGTAAAGTCACATTAGACGCTGTCTGGTTGCTCTTGGTTACCAAGGCTTTTTCCTATTTGACTCACCTTCAATTTTTAGGCAAATTCTCTGGCTTCCTGCTATTGTTTCTGGGTGAATGCAAGACCTTGCAATTTGTTATGTGTCTTCTGAAAGGAAAGACTTGGTGGTAGGAAAGTGTTACGTGGCCCATGTAACTTAAAAGGTGTGAAACTATTAAAAACATACAACTTATTGGGTAAGAAACACAAACAAAATTTATCTCAAGTGCCAGATCCTTCTCTAGTTTAATAAATCTCCCCTCTTAAATGATAAGCAATAAGGCTTATCTGCTTTCTGCAAATGTTACAGGCACAATTTGAGGCAGTTTTATCTTTTCAAATTGCTTGTTTTAAATTCTTAACATTTCAAAAGTTCCTCAAGTCATCTTCCTGAGCTAGAGAGACAAATAGAAATACAGGTTTTTCTCCTCTGTTACCACTCTTTGGACTAAATTTTAGGCACAAGATTGCTTCCTCATTTGATTACTGTGATGAATTCCTAGCCAAGCTGCAGTATAAGAAAAAGTTAATAAATAGAGCTTACGGAGCTAAGAGCTCACTAATGTACTAGCATTTTGTACACAGTCTCAACAAATCCTCAAAATGACCCATTACATAGATAAAGGGAATGAAGTTCCAAAAGGTCAGTTACTCAAAGTTTGCACACCTAGTAACTGGCAAAGCCACAATTCAAACCCAAGTTGACTCTTGAACAACATGAGAGTTAGGGATGCCAACACTCATGCAGTCAAAAATTCATGTATAACTTTTGACTCCCCCAAAGCTTAACTATAGATGGCCCTTTACGTCCACAAATTCAACCAGTGGTGGCTCACTATTTTCATATATCCAACCACAGTTTGTGGCAGTTGGTTGAATATGTAGATATGAAACCAGAGGATAAGAAGCACCACTTATTGAAAAAACCCCAAACATGAGTATAAGTGGACTGGTGCAGTTGAAACCTCTTTTGTCCAAGAGCCAACTGGATATGTGAACCCCAACACCAGTGTCCATAACAACTGTAGTGTGTTATCTCGGAATACATCCTAGAGTACCAACTCTCTTCTTCACATTTGAACAAGACTCTGACTGGCATATCCTTGTAGCATATTTGGTCCTCATAATGTTCTATGAGGGCAGCAAAAAGGGTGTGTGCTAGGGTCATGTTATAGATGGCAAGTCAAAGCTCAAAGAGGGGACCCAGTGTCCCAAAGCCAACAAGTAGTAATGCCAGCAATTTAACCTGTGTCTTTGGGCTGCTTCCTAGTGCAAATTCCTGAAAGCAAGAGTTATTTTTCAAAACAAACAAAAATTAAGCAAAACTAGGAAGAAATAAAAATTTGAAAGCATAATTAATCAATGTAGATAAGTAGGGAACAATTGCCATACTGATCACAAATGCTGGAGGTAGCATTTAACAAATTCTATGCCCGCCCCCTCCCCCCGGCCCCCACTACCCGCCGCCTATCTCACATCCCAATCTGGCCAGGTTGAATTTGTGAGAACCCTAATATATTTTTTTGGGTCTGAAATAATACATTGGATTAATATAACCCAAACCTCTCTGACTCCCTCTGTCTTCCATGCACCATGTTATACAGACTGGTCTGGTTTTCCTCCCAAATTCAAAAATCATTTCTTATAGGTCTGTCCATAGAGTGGGTGCCCACTGAAACTTCGTAAACAAAAACAGGAGGTATTTTAGCTAAGATATGGAACAATAACATTTATTGAGTCCTTAATTTTTAATATATTCCAGGCAGTCTTGTCAGTAATTTAGGCATACTAATATATTGAATCCTGACAGTTATCTTATTTTAACCCAACCTCTCAGGTATAGAATATGAGGTATAAGAATTCAAGTAGTCTTCTGGAATGATATTATACTAAGAGGCAAGATGATAATTTGAACCCAGTTAGTACAACTTAGAAAAACTAAGATTTCAAACTTATTAGGACTTAAGAACTCTGTTAGGCAGTACTCTTTTAGTCTCTGATCCATTTTATAAAAATATTAAAAATGTATTTCAACAATGTTTTACTCCTGAATTGATGTATTGGGTGAAATATATAAAAAAGACATTCTCATTTTCCTATTAGAATTAAATAATAATCATTTGGGGACCAGTGCAGGGAAAAAAAGCTGCTGTACCGAATCGTCTACTGAGTATGCAACTGCAAGAACCAGCATTAGACAGTAGATAACAACATGGGACTTGGAGCAGATGAAGCTAGGCTTCAGACTCAGGTCCATCCCTGTCTGGGACCAAGTTCCCCAGAGTTGACCTCTAGACTAGGATTTGTGTGTTCCTGTAGCATGGTGCCAAACTAAATGTGAAGTTTCACCCAGATTATGTCCAGGCACACAAACTACAATCTCCTGTTTTTGGGATTTATTCAGTATTATTCTCTGTTTACCCTGGTTTTTGTTAATTTGTTTTTCTGGTGGACTGTCCTTTTTATTTATCTTATTTTATTTTTATGATTTTTAATTGCCTTTTGGAGAGAGAGAAAACCATCAATGAGAGCAAAACATTGGTCAGATGCATCTTACATATCCCCTACTGAAAACTGGGCCTGCAAACTGCAGGTGCCCTGATCTGGAATCAACCAGCAACCTTTCAGGGCACAGGATGATGCCCAACCAACTGAGTTACACCAGCCAAGGCAGGACTGTACTTTTCAAACTGTATCATAGTCTCACTTGCCCTGTGACTTCCAGATTTGAGTGTGCCAACTAGGGGAGAGACACCAATTGAAGATTAGAAAGTGACGAGAGAGAAGTCAAAGTATTTCCTTCAAAGTCACCCTGCAGGGCCAGGGTTTGGCAGACAGAAGCCCTTCCTTGTAAAAGAACATAGTAGATATGAGGCTGTTGACGTCATTAGGGACAAAGGGATGGGGGCTATACTTGCCACAGACTGTGACCCCTGAGACATTAGGATCAGAATTTGGTGATATAACTTAATGCTGTTAGTAAGATGGTTGTTTTATGTATTTAATCATTTTTACTGTAATTTTATGTATAATAGTTACAAAGAAAGCTATGTTATTAAAGGTGAGAGAATGAAAAAGAGAGAGAAAAGGAGAGGGAGAGGGAAAGAGAAAGAGAGAAACACTGAAGGGGCTGATGAAATAGCAAGGCCAGACAAGGCAGGGTTTGAGAAATGAGCTCTACAAACCAAGGTGTGGGTTGGTTAGCTCATGAATAAAATATTGATGACTGATCTGCAAGACAAGTTTTCACAAATGAGTGAGAATGAGATGTACACAGATGTTACATTACCATTTAGACATCAACATCCATTGATTTAAATACATTCCTAAAACAAGTTTAAATACCAGCTTGCATAGAGAAAAGAAGAGTGAATATACATAATTTCCTATGGTATTTTAATCAGTTGTCTATTTAGTTTAAAAAGTACTAAGATTAAGTTTCCACAACTCATGAATAAGAAAATTTAAAAGAAGATTGTTAATTCCCAATATACCATTTGTCTAAATTACAAGAAGCTCCTAAATCACCCATTTAAACCCACTGGTCTGTCCTCCAAACAGAGCTCAGTTTTTGATATCCTTAAGGGGAAGGTGATAGAGGAAGCAAAAGTAACATTTTATCAAGTGTCAATGTCAGTGAATTTACTATGTATGCAATCCTATTACATTCTCCCTGCAACCTCAGAGAGGTTGAATATTGGTCAGGGTTATTGAGCTAGAAATGGCAAATATGTGATGTGAGCACAGGTTGTTCTCATATCAAAGCCCTAGTTTATTTTATCTTACCATGTTGCTTTTCATGCTCTCTGTTCAGCATCAGAAAAGAGTGAGAATCAGCTTTCTTGCTGCATCTCCAAAGTTAAGGGGATGTGTCAAGAAGAGCCTAGAAAAGGGAAGAAGAATGTTATTAGGTCTAGTAATAATTAATGTCGTTTTCTAAGACTTTTTTTAAATCTAATTTATTTAAACAATACAACAAAATTTAATCAACAATATAGTTGCCGTTGTTTTCTACTACTTGTGCCCAACGCTCAGGAAGCATTTTAATCCCTCTGTTGTAAAATTCTTGTGATTTTGATGCAAAAAATTCGGTCAATGCATTTTTGAGGCATTCTTCATTATTAAATTTTTTTCCAAGAAGAAAGTTTTGCAAAGAACGAAACAAATGGTAATCAGAAGGGGCAATATCAGGAGAATATGCAGGTTGCGGGAGAACTTCCCATTCCAACTGGCGCATTTTTTCAGCAGTGATTCTTGCAGTATGCGGTCGTGCGTTATCGTGGTGAAGAATTATGCCCTTCCGATTAATCAGCGCGGGTTCTTTTTCTCTTAAAGCTTGGGCTAACCTTTCCAATTGGGCACTATACACTGCACTTGTAATGGTTTGGGTAGATGGTAAAAGTTCATAATGAAGAATTCCTTTAAAATTCCACCAAACACACAACATCACTTTTTTCGCATGCAAGTCAGGTTTTGGCGTGGGCTGCGGAGACTCATTTTTGTCCAACCATTGAGGCCGCCTTTTCAAATTAACATACAGCACCCATTCTTCATCTCCGGTAACAATTTGCTCTAAAAACGGCAAACAGTTTTGACGAGAGAGGAGCGAACTGCAAATTGTGACTCTTTGATTACTGTTGTTGTCGGTCAACTCATGAGGAACCCATTTTCCAAACTTTTGGACTTTGCCTAGTGCACGCAATTGATTGGAAATTGTTTTTTTGTGAACAATTTAAAGTTGTCGCAAGCTCTTGTTGGGTAATTTGAGGATTTTGCACCAAAAGAGCTTGAAGAGCTTCTCGATCAAAATTGGACACACGGCCTCGACCACTCTTGTCATCTAACGAAAAATTTCCCTCGCGAAATTTCTCAAACCAACGCTGGCATTTTCTGGCACTAACTGCATCTTGACCAAGAGCACTACAGATGTTTTTTGCAGCCTCACTTGCTTTTCTTCCTAATTGGAACTCGTAAAGCATGCAGTGCCTAATATGCTCTTCATCCGCCATCTTCTTAGCCCTAGTTTTGCAACAAAAACCAAACCAAACACAAACTTTTTCAAGCAACACTTATTAATTGCACTTCACACATTCTGTAGATACCACGTGTTTGAAGGTTATGTCAATACAAGTCAACGCCAACCAAGATTTTAAACGAATGTTAAAAAACGACATTAAGTATTACTAGATGATAATATACTAAGTAAATTCAACTTCTACTTGTTGAATTTGTATTATGTGTAAATTCCAAGGTAGGGTCCAAGACTTCTAGCTGCTAAACAACCAAAGTTTATAGCTAAAACAATCATTCAAAACAAGGACAATTCAGTGTGATCATTGCTTTTATGGAGTGAATGTGAACTGGGGGGTACAGAGAAAATTTCAAGGAAAAATAATTTACATGAGCAAAAGGAGAGAAGGCTCCACCAAGGATGTTCATACAATGTATCGATGCTTCAGATGATCAATTTAGAGTTTAGAAAAACATGGGGACTAAGAATTTATAGTACAACAAGGTGACTATAGTTAATACTATGTTGTATACTTAAAATTTGCCAAGAGAGTAGGTCTTAAGTACCGTATTTTTCGGACCATAAGACGCACTTTTTTCCCCCCAGAAGTGGGGGGGAAAAGTCCCTGCGTCTTATGGTCCAAATATAACCTACACATATACTTTAAAAAAAAAGTTTTTTACTTGCCCGGCTCTGTGTGGTCTCTGTGTGCTTGCCCGGCTCTAAAATGGTTCTAAATGCTGCTGTTTACTTTACAGGGTTGATTACATGTGTTTATGACTGTGATGTTGGGTTTTAATGCACATAAAATATTTTAGGGCACTATTTGTTTCAGAATCTTTTTTTCTTCATTTCCCTTCTCTAAAAACTGGTGCGTCTTATGGTCCGGTGCGTCTTATGGTCCGAAAAATACGGTAATCTCTCTTTTCTCTCTCTCTTTTCTCTCTCTCTCTCTCTCTCTCTCTCTCTCTCTCTCTCTCTCTCTTTCTCTCTCTCTCTCTCATAAAACAACAAAAAACATGTAACTATAAGAGTTATGGATGTGTTCATTAACTTGTCTGTGAGAACCATATAGCCAATCATCACATTGTACAATTATATGCAATTTTATTTGTCAAGTTTTTTATGAATAAAGCTAGAGTTTCAATAAACTTTGGAGAGAGCAGGAATGGGAACCTCCCATCACCTAGAATGCCGTTTACACATCTACTAGTATAATTCTTCTCAGTTATGCTCCCTCTATAGGTAATATCCCATCCCCTTGGGGATCACTAGATAAGAGAACCCATTGGAAGAGCAGAGCTAAGTATGACTTCAGCTCTAGGGCTGACCTCTCATAAAGGCACTGGAGCCGACATTCTCCAGAGGGAAATCCCCACCACCAGTGCTGAATAATCCATTAACAATTAAGAAATTGGCCCTGGCTGGCTTGGCTCAGTGACTAAAGCATCAGCCTGAGGACTGAAGGGTTTCAGGCTTGATTCTGATGAATTTGGGCATGTATGGGAGGCAACCAATTAATGTGTTTCTCGCATATTGTTTCTCGCTCTGTGTCTCTCCCTCTCCCCTCCACTCTCTCTAAAAATCAATAGAAAAATATCATCGGGTGAGAATGAACAAAACAAAACAAAACAAAAAAACAAAACAAAAAAAACAAAAGGAAATTGGCCGAAACCGGTTTGGCTCAGTGGATAGAGCATCGGCCTGCGGACTGAAAGGTCCCGGGTTCGATTCTGGTCAAGGACATGTACCTTGGTTGTGGGCATATCCCCAGTAGGGGGTGTGCAAGAGGCAGCTGATCGATGACTCTCTCTCATCAATGTTTCTAACTCTCTATCCCTCTTTCTTCTTCTCTGTAAAAAATCAATAAAAATATTTTTTTTAAAAAAGAGGAAATTGTCTTAAATATTAACATAGAATGTCAAGTTCAAAAATAAGAAACATTTTTTTCTGGCACTTATTCATACATTTATTAAATAATTAGTAAAGTGATTTATCTATGTCAGGTGCTATTCTGGGTTCTGTTGAAATTATGATGAATAAGTTAGATATGGACCCTCCTTTCAGACAACTTACAAAATAGGATAATTAGATAATGAACAAGATAATGTTTGACAAAAAAAAGAAAGAAAGAAAAATCCACTTTGCTTCCCTATATGTGTTAAAAATTGTATATGTGTTAAAAACCAGCTTCTTATCTGGTTTGTGATGGGTCATTCTTGAAATCAGTGGTGACAGAAGTAATCCCTTCATTAAGGTGATGTGAGATTTTTGTTCCTTGTGAGTCACTCTTCATCCTTTACAACACTCCTCTTTGCCTTGGGAAGCTGACTAGAATGGACCCCATCAAAGGGCATGTGCTCTGGCTTCTGCTTGGCTAGGCCAATGGGAAGCCCAACAACATTGAACTCTTATGAGATCTTGGCTCTCAGGTTAACACTCCTCTACATGACTCCTGCTGAGGTCCAAAAGCTGCTCCCTTCTCTCTCTATTATGGCTTGTGGATGGAAACAACAGCCGCTATTTACTGGCCTTCGGTTATTGCATAATTCCATGGGTTTCCCTTATATCCACCTGAGTCTTTGTAAATAGCCCTTCTTTAAATGACTCTTTCTTCAGTTATCCTATTCTGCTGTGTCTTTTTCCCCTGTTGGGACCTGGCTAAAATAACACCTTTGTTGTATCCCAAGTTTCTAGCTTTCATTTATTAATTTTTCTACCTGAGGCCCAATGCACGTAAATCGTGCAAGAGTAGGCCTTCCTTCACCCGGTTGCCGGCACCAGCTTCCCTCTGGCACTTGGGACCTAGGCTTCCCTCTCAACACCAGTTTCGTCTGGAAGGTCGTCTGCTCTAATTAGCATATTATACTTTTATTATTATAGATTGATTGATACCACATCTTCAACTAGGTGGTAGAGGAGGACACACAGATAGAGACAATTTAATACCTGCCTAAAGTAAGCACTGTGAAATACTCTTAGTTAGAACTTAATATATCTGTCATAATTTAAAATTCACTTATCCCTTTTCTCATAAATTCCATGCAAAGAATTTACCCTGTTCATTACAGCCACAGCATTATTTGCAACAATGAAATACAGAAATTACTGGTTAGATACATTGTGGTACTTCCAGACAACAGAATAATTTTCAAGTGTTAGAAAGACACAGTAGATCTGTATGTAATAATATAGAAAAGTCTTCAAGGTATGTTAAATGAGAAATCAAAGCGTTGGACAGTATGTTATAAAGCTACTGTGTAACAAGCAATATACACTTAGTGGGTCTATACATAAAATTTCTAGTTTTTTACTAACATTTGAAGAAAAAGTTGAAAGGGAAACCTTTGGGAAGATATGCTAGGAAAGGGAAATTGTTATTTTACAGTCTTTTATCTTTCTGCATCTATTTTTTATTTTTTAAAACCATGCGCTTAATTTTTTTTAAATGTAAAAATAGAAATAAAGATGCCATCTCAACCTCCTATTTTGCTTAACTTAATAGAGGAGTTCTGATTTCCACAGAGGAAATAAAATATAACTGCCTAAAACAAATTTACAAGGAAGAACATCAGTACATTAAATGTCACGTGTGAAACCTGAAATGGAAACATTTCACTCCACTTATTTCACATGAAAATCAATTGAAACTGATTTCAAAGGCTGAACCACAGGTCCTGACAGCCACCAGGGCCTGTTAGCATAACCTCTGCTTGTCTCCTCTCCTATTATTTTTGCAATACAATTATAACTGGCAGTCCCTAAACCTTGTAATTGTAAACTAACCTTTGGAAAATTCAAATGGTTGACCATGAATTTAAAGAGAAGGCCTCTCCTACCCTCTCTGAACTTCGTGGTGGTCTTTGGATGGTCAAATGACCTAGCTCAAGCAATCCTCAAAGTTGAACCAAAGAAGAAAATAATTGTCTTTTCAGGAAGGGTTGCTCCGTGGACAGCAAAGATGCCTGAGAAGGAATCTGTATAATATTATTTCCTTTTCCCAGAATTTATTGGCATCCCTCCCAGTTTTCCACTGGAAATTAACATCCTCATGTATACAGATAGGTTTGATTAGCTGAGCTCAGCTGGGTCAGCCCAGTTTTGTACACAGTATATTAATATTCTGTCCATGCTCCAGGCACTCATTAATCCATCACAGTTTCCTATCTTTTCTCCCTGTTTCTGCTTTTCACAAATAATAACAGCCAGCCCTAGATAGCAGATATTCCAGTGTGTACACAAAATAACAGCTAATGCAACACAAAGCCATTCCAAGCTCAAATTGCCTTCTAGAAGAATTGATACAAAAAGGCATTGTAATTTCTGATGAAACTTCCATGCATGCAAGCATACTGAATTAATTATTTTCCATTCTGTTTGTTTATTGATGCAGCATCTGTTGCTGTTGTTATTCATGTTTGCAGTAAGGAGGCTAAACATGCAAGGTGGAAGAAAATGATTTGTATAAGTTTTTGCCAAAGAACGGGGAACACTGTGATATTAGTACTACTTCTGTCAATTCATATTTTAAACAATGTGATTAGTTCTCATCTATCAGACTTCAACCAGGCACTGGACTAAGTGATTATATATATATATATATATATATATATATATATATATATATATATATATATATATTTGTATTTAAACTTTACAACACCCTGTGAAATATTTTGGTTCCCATTTTACAGATGAGAAATGGAGGTAGGTTCAGGAATATTATCTGGGACCACACAGCTAGTAAACAACAGAGCTAGTGTTGTGGCTTCAATGTTTTTGTTTTAGTTTCTTTTTTAACCCTCACCTGAGGACATACTTATTGATTTTAGAGAAAGGGGAAGCGTAATAGAGAGAGAGAGAGAAAGAGAGAGAGAGAGAGAGAGAGAGAGAGAGAGAGAGAGAGAGAGAGAGAGAGAGAGAGAGAGAGAGGAGAAACATCCACAGACTGCTTCCCATATACACCACAACTGGGATCAAAAAACCTTTCAGTGTTCGGGTTCGGGACAATGCTCCAACCAACTGAGCCACATTGGTCAGGGCCTGACTTTAATGTCTGTGACTTTTCTTCTAAACCCCAGGAGTAGGATTAATATCACAGAGCTTTAAATGATCAAAGGGGTTACTTTTAAAAATCTCCAGTTAAGGAAATTACCAAAAGCCTTCAATAACTTCTCTGTACCAAATGAGCCAGCAATTGTGAAAGACCAACATTAGAAATTACTGATAACATCACCCCTCCCTTTTCTGCCCCCTTCTGCAGCTTGAAAAGACCCTTTCTGTGGTTCTCATGGAAATCTTCATCTTTTCCAAATCCCTGCGTAGAAGAGCTGCTATTCTACTATATTTGGGCAGCAAGGTAAAAGAAAGATGACACAATTCAAGAGAACCCTTCACAGAAAGTCCCTTCCTGAATTGTTTTAAAACAGAGACCAAGAAGCACTGTGTTTATGGGAGAAGGATGTTTTTCTTCTCCAGAGAAACTAACTCCTTTTCCTAACAAAGAAAGGGCAACAATCCAAATAATTCCTTAGGCTGAGAATAAAAGCACAGCCAGGAAAGGGCCTTTAATAAGTATATGAATTATACCAGTGATGACATGTATTGGGCAATGATCTCTCTTCCTTTCAGTGACATGCCTGTCTTGTTAGTATTTAATATAGATCACTCACCATATTCCTCTGAATTCAGAGTCATTACCAGAATGAACACTCTATTATGCATAGTCAAAAAGCATAGAATTTCAATGCTTAAAGGAGCCACTGGGTCTTTAATTTCAACTTTTTCCAATCTCTCTCTTCTCTCCCATCCCTCCATTTAGTGGTATATTTTTTCAAATGAAAAAGGGTGACATGACTGTTGTTTTATTAATCAATAGCTAGAGTAAGGTTCTAAATAGGTTTCTGAATTTCCAATCCTCTGCTCCTTCCACAACAAAGGGAACACTTTACTTTGAATCCTGGGCAACTTTTTATTTTTATTTTGTTTTATTTTATTTTATTTTTAAATATATTTTTTATTTATTTCAGAAAAGAAGGAAGAGGGAGAGAGATGTAGAAACATCAATGATGAAAATCATTGATTGGCTGCTTCCTGCACGCACCCCACTGGTGATCGAGCCCACAACCAAGTATAGAACCTGGGATCCTTCAGTCTGCAGGCTGATGATCCATTCACCAAGCCAAACCGGGTAGGGTCTGGGCAACTTTTTAATAGTGAGTGGTCAAACTCTCTAAGCCTCACATTTCCCCATCTGTAAAATGAAAAGAATGATGGCAATTGCCTCACAGGTTTGATGTAAGGCTTAAATGAAATGATGTCTGTAAAGAGCTTAACACAATGTTTGACACACAGTGTCAATTTAATATTGATTATCATTATTAATTCAATGCTTTACAAACCAAAGTTTTATTCTCTAAGCTGTGACCTACCTGGGCTTTAAAAATCACATTTGTGCAGTTGCTCAGGACCAAACCAGAGAGGGTTGGACCTGCATTGCCACCATTTGTCCATCATCCAGATATCATTGCTGAAATGTACACGTAAGAAACTATTTGACATTGAAACTGGGTCTCAGAACTGTTGACATTGAAATTGCGACTCAAATGTTTTTTGTTATTATATGTTTATTTCTAGTCTGTAGTTGCAAGATTTTTCAAAGAGAAGAAATAGGGGGAAAATAGTTATAAAGAACCATTGAACAGACTGCCAAACTATAGCAGGAAGGCAAGGGAGGTTGGGGGCGGGGTTTGTAAGAGGTCAACCGAAGGACTTGTATGCATGCATATAAACATAACCAATGAATACAAGACACAGGGGTTGGGGGGAGGCAGGTGAAGGCTTATGCGAGGAAGGAGGGGGGGGGGGGTTAAGGGAAGCTGAAGGGAGAGGTCAAAGGGGAAAAAAAGGAGACATATGTACTACTATTTGTAATGCTTCAAAAAATAAAAAAAGACTTAAAAAACACACACACAAAAAAAACCCTAACTCATTGGCACTGAAATATATATGTAACCAGTACCAAATTTGCCTCTCCGATCTTCAAACATGATTTCCCTGTCATTAAACAATGTGTTAATGATAGGAAGGCTCTTTGTTGATGTAAAAAAAAAATCACACTTGTCCTCTTTGAATGAGCAATTTCTATTAAGGTCAAGATAGATAATAGAAATTTATCCATAATTATTCCTCCTATTATTACCCTTTTTCTAAATTAACTTTTAACATAACCAGAATTAAGAACTCTGGATAACCAGGATAAGTGTTTGCAGCAACACATAGGGGAATGGGAGGGCATTCTGGAAATGGTCTTGCCCTTCACTCACCTTATCATCACCTTCCGCTCCATGTTCCTGGGCAGTTACCAGCACCACTGCTCACCAATTGGTTTGCTTAGGTCAGAAATATGGTGCTCTTCTTTGACTTATACTTTTTCTGCTTTTTCATCCAACACTTCAAGTTAATCAGTGACTTAGTTCCATAAGTTTTATCACTGGAGTCTGTGTCTAATTCAAGCTGTCTCTCCATTTCCAACACAGCATAAATGTGGACCTTCATTATTTATCATTTTAATTATATAAGTATCTCCTATTGCCTGCCTGTATCCATTTTCCACACTGTAAACCAAGGATATTTCTAAAATAAAAAATAATATTGTGTTGCTGCTTTGTCAAAAGTTATTTGGGGGCCCTAATTATCAGCAGAATAATATCTAAACTCCTCAGCAAGACATACAAGACAAAAAACCGTCCCTCTCCGGCCTGAACTCTCCCCAACATCCATCTCAAATTGTATGTTCCAGACATAAACAGCAATACTTATAGTTACCCAAGCATGCTGAGATTTCTGGCCTTTATTCTTTGTAACTAAAATGCTTGACACTATTTTATTGGGTGATTAACTTCCATTTGCCCTCCAAGACTCAAGTCTGGTTCGTGTTCCCTGAGAGCACCCTATTCTCACTTCCCTTGTCTCATTATGGTGAATTTTACCTACTTCCATTTTACTATTTTGAAAATTTTCTTAGGGGCCATGCTAATCTTCTCTGTATCATTCCAATTTTAGTATATATCCTGCCGAAGAGAGCACTAAGAATTTTTTACTTGTTTCTTTCCCTCACGAATGGGAACTTTCCTAGCTGGAAGGCTGGTGTTTCCTTCTTATTTGGTAGCTTTATATCTATGCCAGTGGTCAGCAAACTCATTAGTCAACAGAGCCAAATATTAACAGTACAACGATTGAAATTTCTTTTGAGAGCCAAATATTTTAAACTTCAACTTCTTCTAATGCCACTTCTTCAAAATAGATTCGCCCAGGCCGTAGTATTGTATTTTGTGGAAGAGCCACATTCAAGGAGCCAAAGAGCGCATGTGGCTTGCGAGCTGCAGTTTGCTGACCATGGATCTAGCTTAATATCTGTCAGAGAGTATGTACTTAAAATATTTGTTTTAATGAGAACTTTCCATATGCTGGCAACTTATAATCATTTGTTGTCACATGATATGTCATTGTGTCTACATATTTCAGAGATGGAACTTAGGAGGAAGTTCCATGTGCCCTTGGTTGTGGAGTGGCTTCTCACAACCCAAAACAGGGTGTGTACAACCACAGTTCCAAAACCTTTAATCTGGTCTGGACTATGATGCAAGTGGCACCACCCTACATCTTTCCTTCCAAAGAATACACTGAACCTTTGGATATGGTTTCCATCTGGGATGATTACAGCCTGAAACGATGTGATGTTATCTCACAATTCCCGTCCCTCCACCCGAGAACTATCAATGGAATTTTGAAATCTTTACAGAAAATAGGATGAATAATTATAAATATTTTTGCACATGATAACTCAAAATTATAGGTCAGGGACAAGGTAGTAATTGCCTTTAATACGAAATATATGTAGTTCCATATTTCATAGCTTTATGAAAATTATTGATGGATAATTGTCTCAAAAATTTTCAAAGCAACTGTGTTAACAGTAAATGCTGTTTATATACCAAGTGTTATTCTAAGCTCATTACACATATTGACTCATTTAATCCTCCCAAAAACTACTGTGAGGTGATCACTATTATCACCCCTGTCTTAGTGATGGAAATTAATGCACAGGGCCAGTAAATAATCATATGGTTAGTCATTAATAGGATTCAGAATCCAGAACAGATCACTGCAAAGTATTGACACACTTTTATACTATGAACTGTATTTTTTAAAATCAGAAACATTTAAGTTACTTTGTAAATATTAAACTATTAGTGATATGTTAAAAATTTGGAAATACTTATACATACTTCAAAATATATTTTTATTGCAGTAAAATCATTATACACAATACTACATATCTGCTACTCTTTAAAGTCTTGTTAAAAATTATAATCATAGTTAAATATTACCAGAATATCCAACCATGTAGCTTTACCCTTTCATGTTTTCATAATCCATTGTCTGTACTGGTGTTGAGGAGGAAGATATGTGGCTCCAAACAACCAATCATCTGAATAGGATTTGGACCCTACACAGGGAGAAGCTAAAGGAAGATAAATAGGAATGTATTCCTACCCCAGTCTTATTTCTGAAAATTATACTAGTATATATAGCTGAGGAGGACACTTAAAATTTATTTAGACATAGTAACAGTAGGCTTTCTGGTCAACCTCTATTGCTAGCTATGAACTTATATAGATTTGTTTATAGTTGAAAGAGACATAAAGATTTCCCATTAATCATTGAGGAAATGAAGAATGCTTAGCTAGAGCAATAGAAACACAATTAGCCTTATATTCATTCTTTATTTTTGGCTTGAGGTCCCTTAGGGAGAGCTATTTTTCTTCTTCAACAAGATTCAAAGGTCCGTGGAAATAGGGAACATGTCCCCCATTTATTTTCTATTGCCCTTGGGACATGGTATAATCCAAAGCACTCAGGTCATATTTAGAGAGTGGAGCCTGGGTGAGATATGAACTTTGTGAGTAAAAGCTTCTCCATCTGAAAGTGAGAGTGGCAGATAAGATGACTTCTAAATGTTCCTTTAAAAGTAAGTTGCTTTTCTTGTGCAATCACACAGACCTTGTTACCATCATACCTATGGTGCCTTCCCCTTATTATCATAGAACGACAATATTCAACCTTGAAACACAAATGGTGAATGGAGACTCAGATTCAAAGTTTAAGGTTCTGATTGTCCAGATTGCTATTGGCTTCCCAGACAATCTTTCTGGCTTTGGTTTTAGCCTTTTGAATCCAATTTTTATATAGAAGTCATAATGGTTTTTGCAAAATGGAAATCAGATTTGTTACTCCCCTGTTTAAATCCACATGTTGCTCTTGTATCAAGTCTAGAGTTTAATATGCATTACAAAGCTTTTCAGGAACTCTGTGCCCTGAACCACTGTCCTATATGCTCCTCTAGCTTGAGTTCCTCCAGATTAATTTAATGGTACCTCTGTTACATGGTACTATAACATTCCACAATCCCCTGTGAGAGGTCTTAGCACACTGACTATCATCAAATTCTGCCATAAGAGTCATCCCCCACTACTTAAGCTGTAGGCTTCATTAGTGCAGGAACCATATTTGTCTTTGTTCATCTTTCAAGTGCTTGCACCTAGAACAGCTAATGGTTAGCAGGTGCTGAACAAATAATTGTTGAATGAATGAATGAAAAATATCATACTACCATTAATTAGTCATTATGAATTTTATTTCTGTCAGCAAGGAAAAATAATGTTTATCTACCTGAGATGACATGCCACATGAGTTAGGCTTTCACAGGCTTTGAAATGGCTTTCACAGTCTAAAAAAAAAAAAAAGATTATGAAGCATTTTATTTTAGAATAAAGATAATAACTCTTCAAGTGTCACACACTTGACATTTCTCTTTTTCTAAAAAGCTATCCTTTGCAATTTCAATATGATATATGATATGTATCAAACCTTTCCTAAGCCATTTACCCAGCAAGTATTCATTGCCTATGCCAGACACTCTCCCAGATGTCAAGCAAACCCAGATGTATAAGACAAGACTCTTTCGCTTGAGGAGCCCAAACCAAATGGAGCAGATAGGCAGATACACACCCTAGTACTCATATGCACTAAATATTCAGTACATGCTGTGTGCATTTTATATACGTACATTTTCTCAGTTAATCCTAACATGGACCTTCCAGAATAAGCTGAAAAGAAATCAAGAATGCAATTTTTCCAAGTCCATCCCACTAATAGGAGTCTCACCATATCACGTTAAGATATATTATGTTAGATGCTTTAATCCAGACAGAAATAGAAGAGGCAGGATAACAGGGAGGAGAGAGAGAGAACATATTTTCCACAAGCAAAGAGAGAAAAAGGTCCGTGCACATTTGAGCACTCATATATATGATTTGGAGAAAACTTCATGGAAGAGAAACTATTTTACCTGTGGAGAGAAAGTAAACTCACAAAACAATTGAGCAATGCAAGAGCCTGATAATATGAGCTAAATATTATTAGCTGTTGCTGGATAATTAGCTATACAGAAAGAGGTAGCAAGAGATGAACTAGTTATCTTTATGATACTGTGTCCTATTGGCAATGAGATTTTTAAGAAGAACAATGATGGGTTTGAATCTGTATTGAAGATTGTTAGCTATTTACAAAGGATTGTTTGGAAGGGAGGAAGATAGGAAGCAAAACATATGAGACACCAGTAAATAAGAATTTGAAGCAGGGAAATATTGCTAGGACTGCAAAAAATTTCACTAATAAGAAAGATATTTTTAAAAGCATTTATATAATTTATGAGTTGAATGTGGGCATAAGTCTAGGATGAGTTTAAGGTTACAGTTTGGCAATCTGTTGAATTTAGCCCTGGAATGCATGCTTATTTCTGCAGCTGACTTGAGTGGTTATGAAATAAAACAATAACACTATGTGCCAGATATCATTTTAAGCAATCATGACAATCACATGTGATATGTACTGTCATTTTTCTTATTTTATAGCTGTATAAAGTGAGGCACAGAAAAATTAAATAATTTTTAATAGAGCTATGGCAATGAAAATTGTGAGGCTCTTCCCAGACTCCCTTTAGGACTAGTACTAATGGCTGGCAATACTGTTAACAGCCCTCAGCTCTCAGCCCCATTAAGGGAAGAGAAGCACATTGCCCAAATAGCATTTGATCCCCAATCTACTGGTTGTCATGGCCATGGTTTTGAATACTTTTCTATATAGCTTTGCAAAAGCAAATACTCTAGGGCAATGCCCAGTACTGCAAAAATGATTCATACGTAGACACATCATGACTTCTAAGTTTTGTAATAGTTCAGGATACAGATGAGTCATTCAATAATAATATACTTGAAATAAGAAGAGAACTGAGAATATATTGAAGCAGGTACCATCAAAACCAAGGGAAGAAAACATTTCAAGAAGTAGAAACTAGTCAATCACATCAAATACTGAAAGAAACTGAAAAGACCTAAGGACTGAGAAATGTCCAATGGCTTTGACCAGGGGAAGGTTGGAGCAAAATAAGTGAGTTCTGTTGATGTGACACAGTGCACACATCAACTATACTGCTATGTTACAAAAAGAATGGGGATGCAAAGACAAGGAGTGCTTGTAAAGTAGGATGTCAAAGTGCTTGGCTTGCAAGAGAGCCAGGATGGAGTCTTGATGTATTTTAACATTGCCTCTGTGTCAAGGTTGAGGTGGGCCCATGTATGTTGCATGCACACAGAGAGCCTAGAGGAATATGGCTTGCAGTAAATCTTAAGCAAACATATGAGCCTCTGTAAACAGTTCTTCATCTTCTCCTTTCTCAAGAACTGGAGGTTCCCAAAAGTAAATTCCCAAGTCCCCCACTGTGATGTGGTTAAGCTGCATGCTTAATTCTGTGCCTAGTGCCCGCACTGCCCATTTTTTGGAAGCCAGAGTTTCCCTTGCCATTACACTATGAAGAACACCAGGAACTGTTACAGGTAAGGCCACAGGGTGAGTGGCCCTGGGGAATTAACCACAGAAAGTGTTTCCCACGAACCCACAGAGCACAGGATCCATGTCTGAAATGCTGGTGTTTTTCTGTTTGTTTCTTCCCCACAGAATACA